CCATCAGTCAGTCCTGGCCCAGCCATTCCGTGTCAGTCACCACGCTTGGCGAGTTCAGAGGCATTTTAGGTGCTTCACTTAAGTTTACGATTTCAAAATAGTGAGCTGGGCACCAGGGGCTGGAGAGGAGCCGAGGAGTGACTGGGCGGCAGGCGCCTCGAGCCACGTAAAGCTCCACCCTGGCCCAGCCTCGCAGCCCCACCCGGGCTCTGAGGTGGAGGGCGGCCTTAAGCAGAGCTCCGTGTGGGCAGGCAGCGACACGGAACTGCCAGCCAACGATGCACCACAGACAGGCAGCAGCGCACTGCGCTTCCCACGGACAGGCCCCCTTCACGCAGAGCTCACTGTTCAGTGAGACACCTGCCAACGTGGGATGAGGGTCCGCCCCCAGGCGTGAGCCCGGTTCATTCCTGGCCGAGGTCATCGCAGACCAGCTGGCTCCTGCGTCAGGCGCACTAGCCAAGCTCACTCCACGGACCGGCGGCTTCAGAGCCTGGTGCAGCCTCGCGACACCTGGGCCTTTCTCTGCCCCCCACTCCCTTGAAAAGGACTGACTCACCACGCAGTTTCTCTCGCTGCGCCTGTGCGGGCGTCTCGCTGGGCCTCCGGCGCAGACCCTGTGGCCTCCGCGTGGTGGTCCTGCTGACCTGAGGCGGCGACAGCCGCAGGTGACTCTCGGGTGGCCTGGCCACCCCCAGACCACACGCGGGTGGCATCGCTGTGTGCTGGCACGTGGAGTCCTCAGAGGTCCCCGTGTCCACAGACGAGGTCCCTGCGGGCCGTTAGCCGTGAGCAGGCGTGGACAGGTGCTCCGTCCTGGGTGGGAGGTAGGCTGTGGCCAGTCCCGGTCAGACCTGTGAGCACCTGTTGCTAAACCAGGACCTTGGAGGCCGACAGCGCCCTAACGAAGGGCTCGTAGCCACGTGCTGGCCAGAGAGGACGGTCCTGGGCGCCAGCTTGACCACCAGCAGCAGGCGGTGGGAGCTGGTCCGTCCTGGCCCGCTGTGCTGGCGCGTTCCCGTGTGGGTCGGGGGACAGCTGGGAGCTGCTGTGAGAGAGCTCCCGGGGTCCCTGGGAGATGGGGGAGGGGGTTCTGGAACGTGCAGCCCACAGGAAGGGGAGCGGGGGTG